AAGACAAAGCACGCATCTGAAAAGTTAGCAGGCATGGCATCCCCAAGGCAACCAGCGCCGTCTATCGGTTTTTCTGAAACCTTGGAGGGTTTCCTTTCTGCGAGAAGCTGCTTTATAATATTTTGAAGGTATCAAAACTCTGCGCCAATGAAAAAAAAGCAAATGTAGAAATCTCCAGAGCTTCTCCTGACTCATCTGCTTGATTACAGGTATCTGAATTACATCAAATATGGAGCTGACTGGGGATACGTAGAGAACACATCAAACATGAGACTCCGCGGCATGTACTACGAATGCGATCCGACAAATTTCCAAGGAACAGCAGCTCAAAAGGTAGGTCAGCCTCAGCCCACTTTTCAACTGCGGAAAGACTACAGCTTCACTATGATGGCTGCCATTTAACGCCGCTGTTCGTACTCCTGAAGTTTCAGTAGAATGCTGGGTTCTGGGCAAATGGATAAAGCACCAGCGCGGAGAGCATAAACAGCGGGTTTGAGTTCGCCAGGGGCAACATATAAAAACACACAAGTCAGCATTTTTGCGAAAGGACTTTCTGGAAAAATCTTCATCTTCGTGGTGAGAGGCTGCTATATTTCTTGACTGTCTTTCTTATGACAATTCAAGGAATATCTGACCCACTGGATATGTTTGAAAAGTAGCTGTCTTAGTTGAGCTACCCTTCTGCATATTTTGTTACTTCACTAGCTTCAATCTCGTATACTCCCCGACACCAAAATGAAGTTGGCTTGGAGGGTTTGTGGTGAATGCGTATAACTTTTGTCGCATGAAGTACTACGAGTTGACCACGAATCAAATTTGCGTCGCGTTCAAAATTAGCTCACGGATTTGGGCTCGAAAATATGCCGGCCTCGTATTAAATCCTATTACAGCGCATTCGAACTTCTTGTGCGGAACCATATTGGTCAAACTCCTTGGCTATTTATAGACCAAAAAAGCGAATGTGCGATGCGAATGCGATTTGTGGTCCATGTTCACTCCTCTGACTAGCATAAATAATGTTATGAAAATCGTCATAGTTTGGTCCATGATCTGCTTGCATGACGTCGTAACGTCATGCAGGTCACTTTTTACTCCCGACTGCCTAGTAAAGCAGCAATACGATGCTATAAGCGAAACAATCATAAAAAGGAAAAGAAGAGAGGATAGAGAACAAGGATTAAAAGGAAAAGGAAGAAAGGTTGGAGGGGAAATCCTCCGCCGTTGAATAGTCCCTTTTTGTTATGCAGCACGCATTCTACCAACATTCAGAGTCTTAGTGGTTTATGAGTGTGATGTGGCCTATACAGTGACTCGTGGAGACCAGCCGAATCAGTGTTCTTGCCCTTGCAGACGGATCCGATACCAATCCACCCTCCCCGGAAGGTAGATAATTGGCCTGGGCGGGAGCTGATCTGGCTTCTGGTTGATCTAGTTGAAGATGGACCTTGCTGTGGACCAGCACCTCTTCAGAAAAGGGATTGTCTCCGCTGCCCGGAAGTACTTCTTTGGTCTGGCAAGTCTTCCACTAGAACATACAGTCAAAGGGTCCGCAAGAAGCTGTACTGTATCTCAAGCACCTGAGAGGCACATCTCTCAGTGTCAGGTTTATGGTCTTAGTTTGCACAGTCTCGTGACATTGAAGAGATATGATTCATCTAAACGTTAACAACATTTCATTTTAGGCTCTCGTACTCGGTGGAGAAGCGGCAATGTGGGGCGAATTCGTAGACGCTACCAATCTGATTCCTAGACTTTGGTGAGAATCGACAGTCTTTTACTTACTTTGGAAGCTTTTGACTTATCTCATATCTAAGGATTCTCTTTCGCAATTTCCAAAGGAAAAAAGACTAATCGCTCGCAACCGGAGGTAGTTCGAAGCTAAGGCCACTTATTTGCAGGATCTGTGAGCAGGTCACCAATAAACACATTTTTCCTTAGAAAGCACGGGAACTCCACCAGTGCACATATTCCTCGGCCTTTACAGTCTTGTTCGTTGCGGACACTGGGGCGTTTCAGAGGGGATAGATTTGGAGCGCTGCCAGCCTGCTCTTCACCAACTGCGACCGCCTGCGCTCTCACAAATTATGGACGGCAGGTTGGCGTTCGTGCCGGACCACACCCACTGGCAAACGTCTCGGACATCCGCGGCTTCAAGTCTGTAGAACCAGATATCCGCCCTGCTCTCCTGTCCTACCTCCGACTTCGAGCAGGCTGCTTCCCTTGACTGTCGACACCTGTGGCAAGATGAAACAGGATCATAATCTGATCATACTCGGCTCCAATATAGCTGGATTATAGCTCCTTATTCAGTTCTTTCTCTATTTTTGTCTACTTCTTCCACACAAATCTGTATCCGTCAACTGATGGCACGTTCACGCATTGACACCTCAAGATTTGGTATATTAACTGGCCTTGAATATTATACTGAAAACCGTTGGAGATGGATCCAGGAGGTTATGCCTAGTAAACTATGTCCAGATTCGAACAAACTCCCGCCTACAGCCCAAGCCTCCGGTCATTAGGCCACCATGAATTCACACTGCTTTGTTCACTGGCTTGCCCCGCCAGGCTTATCCTTATAGGCTTAGATCACATCAAGAGCGCCCAGCAGCTCTAAACTGGGACCGAATAAGGGGAGCCCTGGAAAGAGGATCGGTACACTGAATGGATTTTCTCTTTGTATACCTTAACTCTATCGACTGTTTCTGTTCCAGGCCCAGAGCATCAGCGGTAGCAGAACGGTTGTGGTCCGATCCGTCGGTGACGCAGTCGGCTGACGCGGCATGGCCTCGACTTCACGAGTTCAGATGCCGAATGATGAACCGTGGATTCCCCGTGGAACCACCCAATAATCCGGATTACTGTCCATTCGAGTGGAATCCGAATTACAATGAAATCTAAGGAATAGCTTCTCAGGGAATCGTTTCGAATAAAATTATTACTGGCATCTATGTGATTCTCTTCAAAAGTGTTAGCGATTGATCTTGTATTAAGCAGGAATATTCCATGATCGACTCTCCATTAATCTCGGCATGATGACAGCAATATTCACAGAAGTTTATTCAGCAATCCGAGATTGTTATAGGTCCTTTTACCAGACTGACGTTTCGGCAGTATTGCCTTCTTCGGAGCCTGCAAATCAAAACCTATTCAAGCAGGATATAGCCGAGAGTAGTCTGAGAATTTGCGGCCTAGCGGCGACGCACTCATGAACCACTGCCGTTCATTTCCTGGCAAGGCGCAAAAACATCTATGCAAAAATTTCGAAATTGTGTCAGTCTGGTTCGAGGGCCAAGTTGATCAGGCCTTGCTGATGCAAAAAAGCCATTCCACAACAAACGTGAATACAAGGCAAGGTGCTGTTTGAACCGCAGGGGAGGGTGCAAGGGTGGGAGCACTTGCAATTTTCGCTCATTTCTTTTTCTTTATTTCTTGATTGAATTGCCAGTCTCACCTTACTCATGAATGTGCACACTTCTGCCAAATTGCTAACATCCATGCCACCCTGCATTGGTTTTCAAGATTATAGGCTATCCACAGGAGGTATCGGCAGTTATAGATGTGAACCAAAAGCCCATCAACCCCAACTACGCCGACGTTGCCCATTCACGAGTTGATAAGCTGATTGAGCTCTCTTAGGCTGCGTTCATACTTTTTGCCGTTAGCTGTCAGCGACTAGAAAAAATATGCATTAGAAGATATCGACCCAGGGTCTGTCAGCACTTGATTGCGTGCGCCAGCGTCTACCAGCGTTCACTAGCGTCTTTGAGGACTAGGGAAGTATTCATTGATCTAGGGTCTATCAGCGTGCACCTCCTACAGCGATCTTTGGGGGCAGGAAGCATTGGCCGCGATAGGGGGCAACAGCACGCTGGCACATCTTCCCCATACATCGATCAAGCTGTCTGTTCCCTCCTGTTGCGCCGATACTTGGCGCTGGAGGATGTGGCAGGACGCCAGCACACGCCTTGATCGGTACCTTAACTCCTAAATCCCTCGAGACGCTTGCCGTGGATTTGGTAGACGTTGGTGCATGGTGGGTAAACGCTTAGATCAACTATCTTCACGTTCCTAGTCGCTGCCTGCCCGACACTCCGGAAAGCTTGTGCGACACTATGGTCGCTGGTTGGCGCGCAAGTGGCAGTCCTGCCTCATTCGCGGGACCGGGAGGCGGTGTCAGCCATGAGTGTGCACACTGTTGAAGCCGTTCTCAGCCTTTTTGTTGAAACGCGTATGCGACAAAAAGTGGTAGAAAACGAGTAATACGAAGGATATAATACAGTAATGTCACTTGCCCGCTTCAACAACTGGTGCAGAACGACTTTGGCACCGCGCCAAACGCAGCCGCACTGACACGCCCCACCGGTCCGCAATGATGAGGACTGTACAAACGCAGCCTTATGGATGAGCAGAATCCTCAACAGGAAACAGTGCTCTTCCTCAAAAGGATTATTTTCAGGAAGTGAACTATGCACATTTATTTCATCAAACACGTTCTCCGATGTACTCACGGCACCATTCATTAATGAGGCCCATAGGCATTCCTTTCCACAATGGCCAATGAGTCGCTGACGAATTCTCTCCTCATAAAAATTCAAATAGTCATGTCGTTAATGCATTTCTTTACATTATCGAGTCCCAAATGAGAAAGCTAGCTTCTCTGAGGAGCTCATCTTCCATAGAGGAGAGACTTTTTCTATGAAGATATTCCCTCTTTCCTAAGTGCTAGCTCTGATTTGGGTGTTTGCGACGCATGTTGATGAGCATCGAGTGAGCAGGAAGAAGACTTGCGAATTTGTTAGCGAAGTGAATTAGGCACGTGAGAAGCGGTAACGGATTAACTCACCATCGAAAACACTCCAATGAGTAACTCTGGATGCAGAGAAAGGATCATTTCCTCATTTTGTTTACCTCCCAACTAGCTCCATACAAGCCAAAAACGCGCCCTGCTGGTCATTCTTTTGGCATGCGCCACAAATCTGACTTTCCTTCCATTCCTAAAAGCATTTGAACGCACATATGGGTTGTTCAGTGGAGGATCAAACTTGAATCGCAGCCCCTCTTTATGCTAGTCGAGAATCAGACAAATATGCACAGCCGAATGATTTTTTTGGAAGGAATGACTCCAGCATATTGAACCCACCCTCACCCAAAAAGAAAACACAGCCCCACACCTGAACTCTCATTTTCTTGAATGTCTCACTAAAG